CAAGAAGGAACAATATGTTGATGGGAGATCATCACGTGGAGTGACGGTGGTGTGTGGGAGGTCATCACGTGGAGTGACGGCGTTGTGTCTTTCTACTGGAGATATACAAGGAGGAACAATATGTTGATGGGAGATCATCACGTGGAGTGACGGCGTTGTGTCTTTCTACTGGAGATATACAAGGAGGAACAATATGTTGATGGGAGATCATCACGTGGAGTGACGGCGTTGTGTCTTTCTACTGGAGATATACAAGGAGGAACAATATGTTGATGGGAGATCATCACATGGAGTGACGGCGTTATGTATTTCTACTGGAGATATACAAGAAGGAACAATATGTTGATGGGAGATCATCACGTGGAGTAACGGCGTTGTGTGGGAGATCATCACGTGGAGTGACGGCGTTGTGTATTTCTACTGGAGATACTAGTATACGAGAAGGAACAATATGTTGATGGGAGATCATCACGTGGAGTGACGGTGTTGTGTATTTCTACTGGAGATATACAAGAAGGAACAATATGTTGATGGGAGATCATCACGTGGAGTGACGGTGTTGTGTGGGAGGTCATCACGTGGAGTGACGGCGTTGTCTTTCTTCTGGAGATATACGAGAAGGAACAATATGTTGATGGGAGATCATCACATGGAGTGACGGCGTTGTGTATTTCTACTGGAGATACTAGTATACAAGAAGGAACAATATGTTGATGGGAGATCATCACGTGGAGTGACGGTGTTGTGTATTTCTACTGGAGATATACAAGAAGGAACAATATGTTGATGGGAGATCATCACGTGGAGTGACGGTGTTGTGTGGGAGGTCATCATGTGGAGTGACGGCGCTGTGTCTTTCTACTGGAGATATACAAGAAGGAACAATATGTTGATGGGAGATCATCACGTGGAGTGACGGCGTTGTGTATTTCTACTGGAGATATACAAGAAGGAACAATATGTTGATGGGAGATCATCACATGGAGTGACGGCGTTATGTATTTCTACTGGAGATATACAAGAAGGAACAATATGTTGATGGGCAGATCATCACATGGAGTGACGGCGTTATGTATTTCTACTGGAGATATACAAGAAGGAACAATATGTTGATGGGAGATCATCACGTGGAGTGACGGCGGTGTGTGGGAGGTCATCACGTGGAGTGACGGCGTTTTGTATTTCTACTGGAGATATACAAGAAGGAACTATATGTTGATGGGCGATCATCACGTGGAGTGACGGCGGTGTGTGGGAGATCATCACGTGGAGTGACGGCGGTGTGTGGGAGATCATCACGTGGAGTGACGGCGTTGTGTGGGAGATCATCACGTGGAGTGACGGCGGTGTGTGGGAGATCATCACGTGGAGTGACGGCGGTGTGTGGGAGATCATCACGTGGAGTGACGGCGTTGTGTGGGAGAGTCATCACGTGGAGTGACGGCTTTGTGTGGGAGGTCATCACGTGGAGTGACGGCGTTGTGTGGGAGGTCATCACGTGGAGTGACGGCAGTGTGGGAGATCATCAAGTTGAGTGGCGGTGTGTGGGGAGATCATCATTGGGTAGGACGACGGCGTTGTGGGGAGATCATCACGTGGAGTGACGGCGTTGTGTGGGAGATCATCACGTGGAGTGACGGTGTTGTGTATTTCTACTGGAGATATACGAGAAGGAACAATATGTTGATGGGAGATCATCACATGGAGTGACGGCGTTGTGTATTTCTACTGGAGATACTAGTATACAAGAAGGAACAATATGTTGATGGGAGATCATCACGTGGAGTGACGTCGTTGTGTGGGAGATCATCACGTGGAGTGACGGCGTTGTGTGGGAGATCATCACGTGGAGTGACGGTGTTGTGTATTTCTACTGGAGATATACGAGAAGGAACAATATGTTGATGGGAGATCATCACATGGAGTGACGGCGTTGTGTATTTCTACTGGAGATACTAGTATACAAGAAGGAACAATATGTTGATGGGAGATCATCACGTGGAGTGATGGTGTTGTGTATTTCTACTGGAGATATACAAGAAGGAACAATATGTTGATGGGGAGATCATCACGTGGAGTGACGGTGTTGTGTGGGAGGTCATCACGTGGAGTGACGGCGTTGTGTCTTTCTACTGGAGAAATACAAGAAGGAACAATATGTTGATGGGAGATCATCACGTGGAGTGACGGCGTTGTGTATTTCTACTGGAGATATACAAGAAGGAACAATATGTTGATGGGAGATCATCACATGGAGTGACAGCGTTATGTATTTCTACTGGAGATATACAAGAAGGAACAATATGTTGATGGGAGATCATCACGTGGAGTAACGGCGGTGTGTGGGAGGTCATCACGTGGAGTGACGGCGTTGTGTATTTCTACTGGAGATATACAAGAAGGAACAATATGTTGATGGGAGATCATCACGTGGAGTGGCGGCGTGTGTGGGAGATCATCGCGGAGGGACGGTGTGTGGAGATCATCACGCGGGAGTGGCGGCGTTGTGTGGGAGGTCATCACGTGGAGTGACGGCTTTGTGTGGGAGGTCATCACGTGGAGTGACAGCGTTGTGTGGGAGGTCATCACGTGGAGTCACGGCAGTGTGTGGGAGATCATCAAGTTGAGTGACGGCGGTGTGTGGGAGATCATCACATGGAGTGACGGCGTTGTGTGGGAGATCATCACGTGGAGTGACGGCGTTGTGTATTTCTACTGGAGATACTAGTATACAAGAAGGAACAATATGTTGATGGGAGATCATCACGTGGAGTGACGGCGTTGTGTGGGAGATCATCACATGGAGTGAGGGCGTTGTGTATTTCTACTGGAGATACTAGTATACAAGAAGGAACAATATGTTGATGGGAGATCATCACGTGGAGTGATGGTGTTGTGTATTTCTACTGGAGATATACAAGAAGGAACAATATGTTGATGGGGAGATCATCACGTGGAGTGACGGTGTTGTGTGGGAGGTCATCACGTGGAGTGACGGCGTTGTGTCTTTCTACTGGAGATATACAAGAAGGAACAATATGTTGATGGGAGATCATCACGTGGAGTGACGGCGTTGTGTATTTCTACTGGAGATATACAAGAAGGAACAATATGTTGATGGGAGATCATCACATGGAGTGACGGCGTTATGTATTTCTACTGGAGATATACAAGAAGGAACAATATGTTGATGGGAGATCATCACATGGAGTGACGGCGGTGTGTGGGAGGTCATCACGTGGAGTGACGGTGTTGTGTATTTCTACTGGAGATATACAAGAAGGAACAATATGTTGATGGGAGATCATCACGTGGAGTGACGGCGGTGTGTGGGAGATCATCACGTGGAGTGACGGCGGTGTGTGGGAGATCATCACGTGGAGTGACGGCTTTGTGTGGGAGGTCATCACGTGGAGTGACGGCGTTGTGTGGGAGGTCATCACGTGGAGTCACGGCAGTGTGTGGGAGATCATCAAGTTGAGTGACGGCGGTGTGTGGGAGATCATCCGCGGGAGTGGCGGTGTGTGGGGAGGTCATCACATGGAGTGGCGGCGTTGTGTGGGAGGTCATCACATGGAGTGGCGGCGTTGTGTGGGAGGTCATCCGCGTGGAGTCCGCGGCGGTGTGTGGAGATCATCAAGTTGAGTGGCGGCGTGTGTGGGGAGATCATCAAGTTGAGTGGCGGCGGTGTGTGGGAGATCATCACGCGTGGACGGCGGCGGTGTGTGGAGGTCATCACATGGAGTGGCGGCGTTGTGTGGGAGGTCATCACATGGAGTAGCGGCGGTGTGGTGGGAGAGATCATCACGTGGAGTGGCGGCTTTGTGTGGGAGGTCATCACGTTGGTGGCGGCGGTGTGTGGGAGATCATCACGTGGAGTGACGGCGGTGTGTGGGAGGTCATCACATGGAGTGACGGCGTTGTGTGGGAGGTCATCACATGGAGTGACGGCGGTGTGTGGGAGATCATCCGCGTGGAGTGAAAGCGTTGTGTATTTCTACTGGAGATATACAAGAAGGAACAATATGTTGATGGGCGATCATCACGTGGAGTGACGGCGTTGTGTGGGAGGTCATCACGTGGAGTCACGGCAGTGTGTGGGAGATCATCAAGTTGAGTGACGGCGGTGTGTGGGAGATCATCAAGTTGAGTGACGGCGGTGTGTGGGAGATCATCACATGGAGTGACGGCGGTGTGTGGGAGATCATCACGTGGAGTGAAGGCGTTGTGTATTTCTACTGGAGATATACAAGAAGGAACTATATGTTGATGGGCGATCATCACGTGGAGTGACGGCGTTGTGTGGGAGGTCATCACGTGGAGTCACGGCAGTGTGTGGGAGATCATCAAGTTGAGTGACGGCGGTGTGTGGGAGATCATCAAGTTGAGTGACGGCGGTGTGTGGGAGATCATCGCGTGGGTGGCGGTGTGTGGGAGGTCATCACATGGAGTGGCGGCGTTGTGTGGAGGTCATCACATGGAGTCACGCGGCGGTGTGTGGGGAGATCATCAAGTTGAGTGGCGGTGTGTGGGGAGATCATCAAGTTGGTGGCGGTGTGTGGGAGAGATCATCACGTGGAGTGGCGGCGGTGTGTGGGGGAGGTCATCACATGGAGTGGCGGTGTGCGTTGTGTGGGAGGTCATCACATGGAGTGGCGGTGTGTGGGAGAGATCATCACGTGGAGTAGCGGCTTTGTGTGGAGGTCATCGCGTTGAGTGGCGGCGGTGTGTGGGAGATCATCACGTGGAGTGGCGGCGGTGTGTGGGAGTCATCACACGGTGGCGGCGTTGTGTGGGAGGTCATCACATGGAGTGAGATGGCGGTGTGTGGGGAGATCATCCGTGGAGTGAAGGCGTTGTGTATTTCTACTGGAGATATACAAGAAGGAACAATATGTTGATGGGAGATCATCCGTGGGTGGCGGCGGTGTGTGGGGAGGTCATCCGCGTGGAGTGGCGGCGTTGTGTATTTCTACTGGAGATATACGAGAAGGAACAATATGTTGATGGGAGATCATCACGTGGGTGACAGGCGTTGTGAGGAGGTCATCCGTGGAGTGATGCGTTGTGTGTGGGAGGTCATCCGCGTGGAGTGGCGGCGGTGTGTGGAGGAGATCATCCGTGGAGTGGCGGGTGTGTGGGAGATCATCACGTGGAGTAGCGGCGTTGTGTATTTCTACTGGAGATATACAAGGAGGAACAATATGTTGATAGGAGATCATCCGTGGAGTGACAGCGGTGTTTGGGAGATCATCCGTGGAGTGGCGGTGTTGTGTATTTCTACTGGAGATATACAAGGACAAACAATATGTTGATGGGAATTATCACATGGAGTGGCGGCGTTGTGTGGGGAGATCATCCGTGTGGGTGGCGGTGTGTGGGAGATCATCCGCGTGGGTGGCGGCGGTGTGTGGGAGATCATCACGTGGAGTGGCGGTGTGTGGGGAGATCATCGCGTGGGTGGCGGCGGTGTGTGGGAGATCATCGCGTGGAGTGGCGGTGTGTATTTCTACTGGAAAAATACAGGGAGGAACAAGATGTTGATGGGAGATCATCCGTGGAGTGATGGCGTTGTGTGGGAGATCATCACGGAGGGTGACTGGCGGTGTGTGGGAGATCATCACGTTGGTGGCGGTGTGTATTTCTACTGGAGATATACAGGAGGAACAATATGTTGATGGGAGATCATCACATGGGTATGGCGGCGTGTAGGGAGATCATCACGTGGAGTGGCGAAGTGTGGGAGATCATCCGCGTTGAGTGGCGGCGGTGTGTGGAGATCACGTGGGTGGCGGCTTTGTGTGGGAGATCATCCGTGGGTGGCGGTGGTGTGTGGGAGGTCATCCGTGGGTGGCGGCGTTGTGTGGGAGATCATCACGTGGAGTGGCGGCGTTGTGTATTTCTACTGGAGATATACAAGGAGGAACAATATGTTGATGGGGAGATCATCGGGAGGAGTGGCGTTGTGTCTTTCTACTGGAGATATACAAGGAGGAACAATATGTTGATGGGGAGATCATCCGCGTGGAGTGGCGGCGTTGTGTGGGAGATCATCCGTGGAGTGGCGGCGTTGTGTATTTCTACTGGAGATACTGGTATCACGAGAAGGAACAATATGTTGATGGGAGATCATCCGCGTGGAGTGGCGGTGTTGTGTATTTCTACTGGAGATATACAGGAAGGAACAATATGTTGATGGGAGATCATCATGGGTAAGCGGTGTTGTGTGTAAGGAGGAGTCATCCATTGGAGTGGCGGCGTTGTCTTTCTTCTGGAGATATCACGAGAAGGAACAATATGTTGATGGGGAGATCATCACATGGGTATGGCGGCGTTGTGTATTTCTACTGGAGATACTAGTATACAAGAAGGAACAATATGTTGATGGGAGATCATCACATGGAGTGACGGTGTTGTGTATTTCTACTGGAGATATACAAGAAGAATATGTGTGGGACAATATGTTGATGGGAGATCATCACGTGGGTAGCGGTGTTGTGTAGGAGGTCATCACGTGGAGATAGCGGCGTTGTGTCTTTCTACTGGAGATATACAAGAAGGAACAATATGTTGATGGGAGATCATCACGTGGGTAGCGGCGTTGTGTATTTCTACTGGAGATATACAAGAAGGAACAATATGTTGATGGGGAGATCATCACATGGGTGGCGGCGTTATGTATTTCTACTGGAGATATACAAGAAGGAACAATATGTTGATGGGAGATCATCACATGGGTGACGGCGTTATGTATTTCTACTGGAGATATACAAGAAGGAACAATATGTTGATGGGAGATCATCAGCGGCGGTGTGTGGGAGGTCATCCGTGGGTGGCGGCGTTTTGTATTTCTACTGGAGATATACAAGAAGGAACTATATGTTGATGGGAGATCATCCGCGTGGAGTGGCGGCGGTGTGTGGGAGATCATCACGTGGGTGGCGGTGTGTGGAGATCATCGCGTGGGTAGCGGCGTTGTGTGGGAGATCATCCGCGTGGAGTGGCGGTGTGTGGGAGATCATCCGCGTGGAGTGATGGCGGTGTGTGGGAGATCATCACGCGTGGAGGTAGCGGCGTTGTGTGGGAGGTCATCCGTGGGTGATGGCTTTGTGTGGGAGGTCATCACGTGGAGTGACGGCGTTGTGTGGGAGGTCATCACATGGAGTGGCGGTGTGTGGGAGATCATCACATGGAGTGACGGCGTTGTGTGGGAGATCATCACGTGGAGTGACGGCGTTGTGTGGGAGATCATCACGCGGGTAGTGGCGTTGTGTGGGAGATCATCACGTGGAGTGGCGGCGTTGTGTGGGAGATCATCACGTGGAGTGACGGCGTTGTGTGGGAGATCATCACGTGGAGTGACGGCGTTGTGTGGGAGATCATCACGTGGAGTGACGGTGTTGTGTATTTCTACTGGAGATATACGAGAAGGAACAATATGTTGATGCGAGATCATCACATGGAGTGAGGGCGTTTTGTATTTCTACTGGAGATACTAGTATACAAGAAGGAACAATATGTTGATGGGAGATCATCACGTGGAGTGACGGTGTTGTGTATTTCTACTGGAGGTATACAAGAAGGAACAATATGTTGATGGGGAGATCATCACGTGGAGTGACGGTGTTGTGTGGGAGGTCATCACGTGGAGTGACGGGGTTGTGTCTTTCTACTGGAGATATACAAGAAGGAACAATATGTTGATGGGAGATCATCACGTGGAGTGACGGCGTTGTGTATTTCTACTGGAGATATACGAGAAGGAACAATATGTTGATGGGAGATCATCACGTGGAGTGACGGCGTTATGTATTTCTACTGGAGATATACAAGAAAGAACAATATGTTGATGGGAGATCATCACATGGAGTAGCGGCGTTATGTATTTCTACTGGAGATATACAAGAAGGAACAATATGTTGATGGGAGATCATCGTGGTGGAGTGGCGGCGGTGTGTGGGAGGTCATCCGCGTGGAGTAGCGGCGTTGTGTATTTCTACTGGAGATATACAAGAAGGAACAATATGTTGATGGGAGATCATCACGTGGGTGGCGGCGGTGTGTGGGAGATCATCACGTGGAGTGACGGCGGTGTGTGGGGAGATCATCCGCGTGGAGTGGCGTTGTGTGGGGAGGTCATCACGCGTGGAGTAGCGGCTTTGTGTGGGAGGTCATCACGTGGAGTGACGGGCGCGTTGTGTGGGAGATCAAGTCATCACGTGGAGTCACGGCAGTGTGTGGGAGATCATCAAGTTGAGTGACGGCGGTGTGTGGGAGATCATCAAGTTGAGTGACGGCGGTGTGTGGGAGATCATCACGTGGAGTGACGGTGTGTGGGAGGTCATCACATGGAGTGACGGCGTTGTTTGGGAGGTCATCACATGGAGTGACGGCGGTGTGTGGGAGATCATCACGTGGAGTGAAGGCGTTGTGTATTTCTACTGGAGATATACAAGAAGGAACAATATGTTGATGGGAGATCATCACGTGGAGTGACGGCGGTGTGTGGGAGGTCATCACGTGGAGTGACGGCGTTGTGTATTTCTACTGGAGATATACGAGAAGGAACAATATGTTGATGGGAGATCATCACGTGGAGTGACAGCGTTGTGTGGGAGGTCATCACGTGGAGTGACGGCGTTGTGTGGGAGGTCATCACGTGGAGTGACGGCGGTGTGTCGGAGATCATCACGTGGAGTGACGGCGGTGTGTGGGAGATCATCACGTGGAGTGACGGCGTTGTGTATTTCTACTGGAGATATACAAGGAGGAACAATATGTTGATGGGAGATCATCACGTGGAGTGACAGCGGTGTTTGGGAGATCATCACGTGGAGTGACGGCGTTGTGTATTTCTACTGGAGATATACAAGGACAAACAATATGTTGATGGGAGATTATCACGTGGAGTGACGGCGTTGTGTGGGAGATCATCACGTGGAGTGACGGCGGTGTGTGGGAGGTCATCACGTGGAGTGACGGCGGTGTGTGGGAGATCATCACGTGGAGTGACGGCGGTGTGTGGGAGATCATAACGTGGAGTGACGGCGGTGTGTGGGAGATCATCACGTGGAGTGACGGCGGTGTGTATTTCTACTGGAAAAATACAAGGAGGAACAAGATGTTGATGGGAGATCATCACGTGGAGTGATGGCGGTGTGTGGGAGATCATCACGTTGAGTGACGGCGGTGTGTATTTCTACTGGAGATATACAAGGAGGAACAATATGTTGATGGGAGATCATCACATGGAGTGACGGCGTCGTGTGGGAGATCATCACGTGGAGTGACGGCGAAGTGTGGGAGATCATCACGTTGAGTGACGGCGGTGTGTGAGAGATCACGTGGAGTGACGGCTTTGTGTGGGAGATCATCACGTGGAGTGACGGCGGTGTGTGGGAGATCACGTGGAGTGACGGCGTTGTGTGGGAGATCATCACCTGGAGTGACGGCGTTGTGTATTTCTACTGGAGATATACAAGGAGGAACAATATGTTGATGGGAGATCATCACGTGGAGTGATGGCGTTGTGTGGGAGATCATCACGTGGAGTGACGGCGGTGTGTGGGAGATCATCACGTGGAGTGACGGCATTGTGTATTTCTACAAGAAGGACCAATATGTTGATGAAGCACAGAATAAACCCAAATGGACTTAGAAATATGGAGGATATGAAGATTGAAGTGGTCGAATATTGGGATACGCTGTCACACGATTTCCTACAACCTATGATTGGTAGTGTACCTGGGTGCATTCAGTCGTGTATTGCAGGGCAAGGAGGTCTCACAAAGTACTGAAAAGACACTTAGACTGTAAGAGAATCATATCTCAACATATTCATTTAAATAAAACTTCTATAGTGTATTAGATAGATTATACATGTATTAGATATTTGCCGGAAATATCTTCTCAATAATTTCTGGGAATACTCTACGTACCACAGTTTTTCATTTTGGGACAGTAAAACCATAATGTTGATTTCCTCCTTGTTAAGTGTATTTGGTCTTATCTTGTCAAGCTCATTACACATGTAACTCATCACTGACAAAACTGATTAGTGATGCCATTCACTACCTTGACTTGTACCATATCTTCCTGCATTTTTTGATTAAAGAATGGAATTTTCCTTGTGTTTGTGAAGGGCGCTGTATTTATGCACTATACATGCATATTATCTCAGTCAGATGGTCATCACTATGTGATAGTTAATAATGTGAAGTTTGATGCTTTAATTCAGAACTGATGGGTATTCTTGGACATAACAGGTGCCTAGCAACCTGCGCTGGTTGTGAGAACTGATGGGTATTCTTGGACATAACAGGTGCCTAGCACTGGTATAAATCGGGCTCAAGTATTGGTATAACTCGGGCTCAAGTACTGGTATAACTTGGGCTCAAGTACTGGTATAAATCGGGCTCAAGTACTGGTATAAATCGGGCTCAAGTACTGGTATAAATCGGGCTCAAGTAGTATAGATCTGGCTCAAGTACTGGTATAAATCTGGCTCAAGTACTTGTATAAATCTGGCTCAAGTACTGGTATAAATCAGGCTCAAGTACTGGTATAGCTCAGGCTCAAGTACTGGTATAAATCGGGCTCAAGTACTGGTATAAATCGGGCTCAAGTACTGGTATAAATCTGGCTCAAGTACTGGTATAACTCGAGCTCAAGTACTGGTATAACTCGGGCTCAAGTAGTATAGATCTGGCTCAAGTACTGGTATAAATCTGGCTCAAGTACTGGTATAAATCTGGCTCAAGTAGTATAGATCTGGCTCAAGTACTGGTATAAATCAGGCTCAAGTACTGGTATAGCTCAGGCTCAAGTACTGGTATAAATCTGGCTCAAGTACTGGTATAGCTAAGGCTCAAGTACTGGTGTATATCTGGCTCAAGTACTGGTGTAAATCGGGCTCAAGTACTGGTGTAAATCGGGCTCAAGTACTGGTATAAATCCGGCTCAAGTACTGGTATAGCTAAGGCTCAAGTACTGGTGTATATCTGGCTCAAGTGCTGGTGTAAATCGGGCTCAAGTGCTGGTGTAAATCGGGCTCAAGTACTGGTATAAATCAGGCTCAAGTACTGGTATAAATTGGGCTCAAGTACTGGTATAAATCGGGCTCAAGTACTGGTATATACACATACTGTCCGACTATAGCTGTAATACTGCTGAGTGTGGCGTTAGTCGTTAACAGGCTTTGTTCTGTTTCATGTGCCAAACAGCGCTTTATTTCTTGAGCAATCATCTTAATTGATAAGGTTTGATCCAGGAATTGGATTCCGGTTAAGACTTGAGTTAGAGTTTGCAAGATATTCCGGGGGAGTGTTATTTTTTATGTGCAAAACACTGCTTTATTTCTTGAGCAATCTATAGACTAAAACAAGTCTGGTACTTCATTTCTTGTGCAATCTATACAAAGTACCAGTCTAGCACTATTATCCGGTTTGGACCAGTTTTTAGGTTTTAGGCGGCATGGCCGAATGGCGTTTACAGTCTTTGAAAACTTCAATTCTTAGGAAAAATAGGACATACACAGCAACGAGCGAGTGTGTATTAAGTCTGTTATTTTGTATTTCATGTAAATCTAGATGCATAAGTATCAGTTGAGGCAAGTTAAGCGATTATAAGTTTGTTATTTTAATCTAAGAAGTAGCCCTGTTCAGCTTTCGATCAGGCATAATTCACGTACAGCACTTTATGGCGTATATTGCCTTAGACTTCTATGACAGCTTGTGATATTTTAAGTCCTTCATGATTTAGGTATCGTAGAAATGTAACGGGGATGGCTCTGACTCAATGAGACAACTCCGTTGAGGCTGTGGTCCGGATTTATTACGGTAGTTTGTATAAATAATACAAGTCTGAAACAATGTATATGTATATTGTAAGTGAAATTATTGACACCAACAATTTCTAACCATAGGTCAAAATATACCTCCACCAAATGCATAAATTCAGTTACAATAAATACTGAATTAACCTTTCAACAATTTAACATATTTTTGTAGTTTATTCCTTTTAAATAAAACCAAGTGTAACTAACCTGTAATTCACCAAAGTCACAATCCTCCATCCATGACTTTCAAACCACCTTGCCAGGTTGGGAGAAAGACAGCAAGTGAACAAACTTCACACTTTCCAAATGCAACTAAATTCAACATCCAATCAAGATGCTGCACATCTTCAGCCAATAAAAACCAAGGACAAGACAGCAGACCTGACCTCATTAAGACTTGGCTAATTTGCATAGGAACTAGATTTGACCCATGACCCAGTGGTGACTATAAATAAATCATGGACTTGTGAAAATGTAAACCTTTTCACTGACAATTGTATTATTGTTTAAGGTGTTATGAACTGATTCCAAACAGGACCATAAGACAAGACATATTAAAATAGATTGCTTTTCCAGAACATTTTACTATTTGTATATTTTGTACTTGTTTCACACTTGTATTTGTTACACACTTGTTTTGTACTTGTTACAGAGACACAGTTAGCACTCTTAAATGTGTAAGTCATTTAGGTGTAAATTTGCCAAGCTTTCATGTTCAAGTCGCTAAAGTGACTTGCTCATGAAATATACAGTTTACATGCAGTATAAGCCATACAGAGTTGCTTCCCTTTAACTGTTAATCTATAATGACATTTGTGTAGCTTGTGTAGCCTATTTTAGTGTCTATTTCATTGTCAATATTTGGTAAATTGTGTAATTTTAGGACATTGTATTAATCTTTATGATTATGGCAGAATATTCAGGAAAATACTTGCTTTAAGTATTGTGTGGACTTTAAGTGATATTTCAGGACATATACATTATTGCCCATGTATTTTGTAGTTGCACATTCAGTTTAGGTTATCATTGTGACAGTTTGGGATATCATATTTAGGCATACCTAGACTATATGACTAAGTGCTATGGAATGTGGTACTTACCATATTCAGGTCCATTTGGACTTAATTTGGGCTTTGTATTTTTCAGGTTTTTACCTTTGGTACTGCCATCCAAACCTTTCCACAATAGGTTTGGTCAGTATTGTCACCAGTACTACCATCCAAACCTTTCCACAATAGGTTTGGTCATTATTGTCACCATGTTATCTGCAAGTTATTTATTCCAACACATGTTTCAGGTCAAGAGACTATATTCTTACTCAGAATTGAGATCCATAAGTCAAGATACAAGGAAAAAGGCCAGAAGATAAAACAACATCCGAGTGAAACGTATAGGTACATATCCAAGGACAACAGAAGTCAAGGTACAGACACAAGTGTAAAGATAACAGCAAGATTGAGTTATATGCAGGGATTAAGATTACCGTGTGTATTTGTCTCATATAAAGTGCTGGAAATAGCAAACCGGTGATTTAGTTAAAACGTACCTGATAATATAACAAGACGAATTCTGATGCAGTGATCAGGAAAATATAGTATCTGAAACTTATTTTATAAAGAGAAATATATTCTAGTATTGTTTCATTTTAATAAATAATAATAATAAAAATAATACACAAGATTTCTATAGCGCCTTATTTGCTTATTTAAAAACACTCTAAGGCGCTTGACATATACAATACTGTATGGTGATATACAGGTGGTATACAAGTGATGCTAAAAGATAAAATATTAAAAGCATGGTAAAACACATACAAGGAGTAAAATTGTACACAGTGATAAAACCAATGATACATTTTGTGGAATAAGCAGCTTTAAAAAGAAGAATTTTAAGAGCTTTCTTAAAAATGTTCAGTGAGGATGAATTTCGTAGGCTAACTGGTAGACTGTTCCAAAGATTAGCTGAAATGCTGTCAAAACATCTGTGGCCATACGTTACTGTCTTTGGTTGACAGAGTCAGGATTCAGATTCTGATCTGAGTGACCTGGCTGGATGATATGGCACAACAAGTTCCTGAAGATAGTATGGGGCCAAACCGTGGAGACATTTATAGGCATACATCAGGATCTTATACTGGCATCTCTGTCTGACTGGGAGCCAGTGTAGCTTCTCTCTCACAGGCGTCATCTCCTCATGTCGGCTAGTCTTGGTAATGAGTCAAGCCGCACAGTTCTGCACCTTCTGTAAACGACTGGTGAGAGTTTCAGGTAGTCCACAGAGAAGACCATTTCCATAATCCAGTCTAGATGTTACTAAAGCATGTGCTAGAGTCTTACAACAGTCTTCTGTGATGTATCTGCGTATGGCTGAAATACTTTTCTGATCTGGAAGTAGTATCATGGAATAATAATTCATGCGAAAATTCATTATTAATTATAACCACCACTACAAGTGATATATTAGGATTCAGATATTAGGAAAATATAAATATAGAATATTAGTTTCATCAGGTATCAGTAATAGCTTAGAGAAAGACTCCGGTCAAAAGAAATAAAACTCATCTCACAGACATACTATTGAAAAAGGAATAAGTTACGGCTGCACAATTTCACAGATGTTCAAGATAAATCCTAGCCTAAGGTGTCAAGGACTCCAACCTTTCAGTAAGACAAAGTTATGTCTATATAGTTTAATGAACTGCTTTGATAAAGTAAACATGTCATCACCTCCATTAAAATATATTGTGCAAACACTTCAAATTAGGGTCATTAAGCCATCTATTATAACACCATAACCATCCAAGCAACATGTCAGCACAATTAGTGCCAGTTGAAATAGGACTAGCAGGATTAAGTACTCTCCCTGTCTGGTCATTTCATTTGTAGGACACACCCCATACCGCATATTCTGTATTTCATTGGTTAGTATAGGGAACACCCATTTTGTATCTTTCAATGAATCATAATGTTTTTATTGTTTCAATTTTAGATAAAAAGTCTAACTGCATTTGTCCATCAGTCATCTGCAGCCTGGCTGCGAAGGGGAAGGAGCTTAGAGGGAAGCAGCCAAGCAAGACTCAAGACACTGTGGGTTCTACTCACGGGGAACTGTTCCCAGCCACTGATGGCGAGTATCACTGGGAACACCTTCTCTGTTACCGCCGAGGTACACAGAAAGCAGGAATGTGAAGTAGGGGGAGTAGCCGTGTCTACTCCCAACGGGAAAGGTAGGGGAGCGTCCGTGTCCACTCCCCATAGTGAAAGGAGGGGAGTGGCCATGTCCGCTCCCTATGGTGAAAGGGAGAACAGGGGAGCGGCCGTGACCACCCCCAAAGGAGAGAGAAAGGTGGTTGCCGCAGCCACCAACCAAGGAGTGAAAGGGGGAGTTGCCGTGCCCACTCCCAAAGGTGAGAGTAGGGGAGTGGCCGTGACCACCCCCCAAGGAGAGAGAAAGGTGGTTGCCGCAACCACCAACCAAGGAGTTAAGGGGGGAGTGGCCGTGCCCACTCCCCGGAGAGAGAGTAGGGGAGTTGCCGTGCCCACTCCCAAAGGTGAGAGTAGGGGAGTGGCCGTGACCACCCCCCAAGGAGAGAGAAAGGTGGTTGCCGCAACCACCAACCAAGGAGTGAAACGGGGGGGTGGCGTGTCCACTCCCGGAGAGAGAGTAGGAGAGTGGCCGTGACCACCCCAAGGAGAGAGAAAGGTGGTTGCCGCAACCACCAACCAACCAAGGAGTGAAGGGGGAGAGGCCGTGCCCACTCCCCGAGAGAGAGTAGGGGGAGTGACGTGACCACCCCCCAAGGAGAGGGAAAGGTGGTTGCCGCAACCACCAACCAAAGAGGAGTGAAACGGGAGAGGCCGTGCCCACTCCCCCAAGGAGAGAGAGAGTAGGAGGGTCGCCGAGGTGGCGTCCCGAAGCTTGGGGCGCGAGAGGAGTGGAGCCACCTCGGGTGCAGATCTTGGTGGTAGTAGCAAATATTCAAAGGAGTGGCCGTGACCACCCCCCAAGGAGAGAGAAAGGTGGTTGCCGCAACCACCAACCAAGGAGTGAAAGGGGGAGTGGCCGTGCCCTCTCCCAAAGAGAGAGTAGGGGAGAGGCCGTGACCACCCCCCAAGGAGAGAGAAGGTGGTTGCAGCAACCACCAACCAAGGAAGTGAGGGGGCTGCCGTGCCACCCCAAAGGTGAGAGAGAGGAGGCCGTGACCGCCCCCCAAGAGAGAGAAAGGTGGTTGCCGCAACCACCAACCAAGGAGTGAAAGGGGAGTGGCCGCAATGCCCACCCCAAAGGTGAGAGAGTAGGGGAGAGGCCGTGACCACCCCCCAAGGAGAGAGAAAGGTGGTTGCCGCAACCACCAACCAAGGAGTGAAACGGGGAGTGGCCGTGCCCTCTCCCCGGAGAGAGAGTAGGGGAGTGGCCGTGACCACCCCCCAAGGAGAGAGAAAGGTGGTTGCCGCAACCACCAACCACGGAAAGCAAGGGGGAAAGGCCGTGTCCGATCCCCCAGGGGAAAGCAAGGGTGTAGCTGTGTCTACACCCCAGCTAGAGAGAGGAAATGGAGCTGCCGTGACTGCCCCCTGCATTGAGAAAGTAAGGGGAACAGCCGTGCCTGGTCCCCAGTGCTTGAAAAATGGAATAGCCGTGTCTATTCCCCACAAAACAAGAAATGTGACTACATTTAATCCAACCCATCCGGGGGTTGGAAAAAAACAGAGAAAGAAAAGCCAGAAAAAGGCAACTGGCAACAATGGGGACATGCCGCCCCCCTAGCCAGGACTCAGTCACCAGGGAGACTGAGCCCGAGAGTCTGCCCAACTCTCGGGGCCTTATTGTTAGCAAGGAAGTAGCCATGTCTACCTCCACACCAACCGCTGGTAGGGTTGGCACAGATATGGGACTGACGACCCCTATATAAACATAGAAATGGACTCTGAATCTGAAGAGGGAGTGCCTAGCCCTCAAAATATCGTAAGGGGAATGCCCAGCCCCAGTAGAGAAAGCTCAGAAATGAAAGTGCCTGAGAACGGTCCCGGTAAGACAAAACAGGATTTCAGTCTGGAAATCACGAACCCCCAAAAACGCAAATTCGGAAACAGCAGAAAGCCAAAACAGCTCCTACTCAAAAGCTGCAATGGCTCTGCCCAAGGGGAACACCGGTAACACTGAAATCAGCCAGTCAGACCGGGTACTAGTTCAAGAGCTTTGGACCAGGAATATTAAGAAGTCCAATGACAAAGCTAGACAAGCCAAAGCCACGGCTAAGGCTGCCCTCCAAACAAAGCAGCAGGGGTGGGAGAGGCTAGTCTACTGTACAGACTACAACCTCACCCTCTCCAGCAGGGTCTCGGCCCAAGCTTTACGGGAGGAACTAGCTAAGTCAATCTCTGTGACAAAAAATTCACAAAGCAAATCGGGGATATGTAGTCAGAGGTGACAACATAAATCATTGCGCCAAGGTCCCCACAAAAGTCCTTGACCAGGTTATAGTTTGGAAAGTGCCAGGCTGGGTCTCACACACAAGATGCGCGGTGCATCTTGATAAGGGTATCAGTGACAAACCCAGTAGCAACACGATCCTACTATAACCGACATGTATAGGATTAAAAGCCAAGGCAAAAATACCAGAGTAGTAATACTCACAATATTGGGAACGACAGTCCCAGAGACCATCAAAGTGGCAGGCGAAGTAGTAGCGACACTTCCCTACCTCAGGCGACCAAAACAGTGTGTCAACTGTTTAAATTACGGGCATGTTAAGGCAAACTGCCTCAGCGAGGCAAAATGCCGAACTTGCTCTAGGCCAGCCAAAAGCTGCAAGGGCAACTGTTCACTCTATTGCACGAACTGCAAAGTTAAGGGACACTCGTCCCTATCCAACTTCTGCAGGAGCAGGCAGCATAAAAAACAGAGTCTAAACACGGAGACTCTTGGCCTTAAACAGACGACACAAACTGTTCAGGGCGATAAACAGGTGGCGACCAAGGGCAAGGTCAATGCTGAGACACAGGCAAAAAAAAAGACGCTGAGGCAACCAGCGCAGGCAACCATATGGGCAAGGGCGCCAAACCAAAGAGACGTAAAGACAAGAGAGGAAAAAGGGGCAAAAAGGGTCCAAAGAAGGTGGCAAACAACACGGGCAATGTTGAAACCACCAGCAAAACAGGAACAGACAAAAGGCATGCTGAAATAAGCCATGACAGCAATACAAATGCCCACAACCAGACTACCCCAGACAAGCTGGTTGAATTCATGTGCGCCGCCGTATTCAAACTAGGCACACATAGGACAGTGATGAAGGGACAAAACTCACCATACTCTGGGAGTTGGCAACCAGCATCCTGTCCTATGGGCAATCTGCTTCCTATCTCACACAGCAGATACATAAGCTTAAATAAACATTTAAGCTACAAATAATAGGGACACAACTGTCATTATGAGCTTACAAATATTGCAATGGAATGCCAACAGTCTGAGGTTACATGGCCAAGAACTCATAGCCCTAGTCAGACAACAGGTACTGAACCCCCACGTTATACTAATTCAAGAAGCGAAACTGGGGAAGAGAGCAAACTTTCGGTTACCTGGCTACAAACAATACCGCAAAGACAGAGCGGGGCGAATGGGGGGTGGACTGGTCACTTTTGTCGTCGACAATTGTACATCCACTGAGGTCAAAGCAAAGGTGGGAAACCTTGAAACCCAGGTCATCTCAGTCAGCATGGCAAATAGCAAATAGATATGCATTGCAAACGTCTATCACAGGACTGCCGAGCCCACCAACATCGAGGAGCTTAACACACTCAGTGACTTGGTCGGGCATTCAGGCCTAATCCTTGGCGACTTCAACGCCCTAAGCCCGCTGTGGGGTGAGGAAACCAACCACTCTGACTGCCCCGGCAGGATGGTGTAGGATTGGGTAGAGTCACAGGGACTCATTATACTGAATGATGGCTCTCCTACAAGACATTGTCCTACCCCATAGTCAAGGAGCTTATGGGATTCCGTGAAAGTTTTTTGATGAAAGCAAATCATATTTTTTTGTGTTTATATGTTAAAGGAGTTTAAAAAAATGTTTGGTTCCAATTGGAATATTGATCCGAAAGCTAATTTTAGCTCAAAATCCAAGACGGCCGCCAAAATTTAACCGGGAACTGAAAAAGTTGCAAAAACTCGGAACAAATCAATGGTTTTTATATCAAATACCATGCATATTTGGTTACGGAATATATTTCTCTTATGCTGTAAGTCACCAGATGTTTTTAGTCTGATAGTAGTCATAAATTTACATAATACGAGTTATTTTTAGCTCTAACAGTTATAATGATGAATAAAACCCCCATTTCTCCACAAGGCATATATTTTGTATAGAACTAGTACACTATGAGAAAGGAATATACTTTTTACCCAGTTTATCAACTATAGAAGAGGTCTTTACATGAAACTGCGACCGAGAATATACTCTTCAAAAAAAGAAACGCACAAGCCATTTTTAGAAGAATTTCTTGCATTAGTTTAAGAGCAATTATTTCATGTAATCCCAATGGTAAAAAGGTGAAAATTCAAATGTCTATAGACAAAGCCTTTACTGTTGTGTTTCTGTTTGCTTGAGTCCACAAGATGGCGTCAAAGTCAATTCTTTGTTTGGCCACCATTGGCAGCAATTACTGCTCGGCACCGTCTCGGCACAGACTGGATAAGTTGACGAAGTAGCTCTTATGATTGTAGGCGACTTCAATTTCCATTTTGAACAAGGATAACCATGACACTAAACAAATACTTAATCTTCTTGAAGTCCACAACTGTGTACAACTTGCGTCAGAGGCAAGCCACAGAGGTGGACACACTCTGGACTGGATAGTTACCCGTGCTTCAGACGCGTGTGTCAGTTGTGTATCTGTATAGGATATACAGCTCTCTGACCATTTCCATGTCTTTGTGAGCTTGGACCTCTCAATACCCAGTCCAAATGTGAAGATTACTCGTTGTGAGAACATGCGCTCCCTGGATACTTTGAAAGACAATTGCTAAACTCGGACCTTATACTTGAGCCACCATCAGACTCTGAGTGTCTCGTTCTGCTATACAATAGAGTTCTATCTGAGCTGCTATATAGACAAACATGCACCAGTGAAGTCATACCAGTCACTAAAATATCTGCTTGGGACTTCACAGCTGAAGTTCGACAAGCAAAAAAAGACAAGACGAAAGCAGAACGCAGATGGAAAACAATCTTTCCTGGAGATTCATCGCCAAATGTATATTTCAGTCAAAAACCGCTCAACAACGGTCATCAGACAAATTAACATCTCAATTCTAAGATTGAAGCCAACGAGTCAAGTCCAAAGTTGCTGTTCAAACTTTTCTTCAGTATCTTGAGTAAACACATTGAATCGACACTTCCGACATCTGATGACAATGAAGTAATTTTCGGATTATTTATACAAAAGATCCAAGAACATTTATGACAAGATTTCGTCTTCTGCGGCTTTGGGTGAAGCTGATATTCCTCCAAAAATGTTTGATGGCACGCCCCTTACTCATATTGATGGTTTCACTGATATTTACCAACATTAGTGCTGATTATTAACTCTTCTACTTCTTCTGGTTATGTCCCAAGTGTACTTAAGTCAGCTCTAGTTAGTCCACATCTGAAGAAATCAAGCCTTGATTAGGAGGATCCCAAAAACTACTGGCCTGTTTCAAACTTAGCATTCATATCCAAACTCATTGAAAGTGCAGTCTCCAGTCGTCTCATGGGCCACCTTTCCTGGCATAACCTCTACGAGGTGTTTATATCAGCCTGCAGAGCACACCACAGCATAGAGACGGCTCTGATGAAGATCCTGAATGACCTACGATGTGGTATGGACACAGGACAAGTGGCCCTGCTCACATTACTTGACCTAAGCAGTGCCTTTGACACGATTGATCACCAGAGACTCCTCAAAAGACTTGATACAGAACTTGGATTCAGCTTTATCCTAGCTGACATCTTATCTACAGGACAGGACTCAAACCGTTATTGTTGGTGAGTCTGTGTCAACCGCATCTAGGCTTGAGTGTGGAGTCCCTCGAGGATCCGTGCCTGGTCCGATCCTCTTCACCCTCTACACTGTTCCACTTGGCAAACCTTAATCTTGACCACTTCTACGCAGATGACACGCAGCTGTGGAAGTTATTTCTCTCTATCAGACATCAGACTGCCAGAAGATGTCATCAAATGCCTTGAAATTAAATTAAGAGAAAACAGAGTCCATTATTCTGGGACAGGCTGGAAAACACAAGCAGTGTGACATTACTAGTGTGGTGTCTGTGGAGCAACCATTCCTCTTTCTTCCACTATCAACGATCTGGATGTTGTCATCGATCAAGATCTAAGTATGACAGAACATGTCAAGTATGTTACTAAAACTTGCTACTCCGATCTCCACAATATCAAAGGCCAGACCGTTCTTACCAAAGTTTCCTCAAAAAACTCTCTGCCTCAGCCTGGTCACATCAAGTATGGACTACTGTAACAGCTTTTTGGCCGGATCTCCATCTTGTGTCACTGATCAACTCCAATGCATACAGAATTTAGCTGCTCGCATTACCTCCCAGATCACCAGAAAAAAAGCACATCACACCAAATGTAAAGGACATTCATTAGCTGCCCGTGAAACACAGTTTGTCCTGCAAACTATTCTGTCTCGCATACCAGAGCATGACTAACACGGCTCCAGTCTACCTTTCAGATTTAACTGAGAGAGTGTGAAGCAGAAAATAGTGTTTTCTCCCCATCATTTAATTATATTCTTATCTATTTGCAAAGAACTCTGCTTCTAGAAGAAAAACTTCAAGCGTAATAATAAGAAATTGATAAATCATAATCTGATATTGACCTACTACATTTTGAAATAAGGACTG